GGCCATGTTGTTGATGCTGTGTCTTTAATGGTGACATACTGATACCTATTAGAAAGGTAAGATTTGAAATAAGCAAGCGCATGGCCTCTTATACCGTAATGGTCAAGTTTGTGGAGTAGGATGTCGTGGTCTACTGTGTCAAAAGCTTTTCTTAGGTCAATAAAAATTCCTAGTGGATATTCCTTATTTTCCAATGCTGTGTAAAGCAGATCTAGCATTTTTACAATTGCATCATTAGTGCTTTTATTTTTCCTGAATCCAAATTGGCAGGGGTTGAGTATGTTTTGTGCCGTTATAAATGAATATAGTCTCCTGTGCACGAGTTTCTCAAAGATTTTGGATAGCAATGGTAAGTTTGATATTGGCCTATAGTTGTTTAAGTCTGTAGGGTCACCACCATGGTGTAACCCTTGCCATCTTGAGTAGTTTCGGGAAGGTGCTAGTTTCTAGTGACTTGTTAAAGAGTAATGAAATAGCATGCGAAAGGACATGGGTCGCTCGCTTGTACAGTAATGGTGGGACATGAGACAGATTCCCTGAGTTATTTTTAAGTGACTTTATAATCTCGGTGACTTCCGTGGGCTCAGTTGGTGCAAGATAGAAGGAATTTGGGAAATTCCCATCTAGGTAGTCCCCGGCACGGGCATTGGTATGTGGGATATTATTGGTGAGATTAGATCCTATGGTTGAGAAGAAGTCGTTTATCTTGTTAGCTGTGTCAGTGGGATGTAGTGGTGTTTCATTAGGTTTAGTTTGGACAATATTCTTGTTTTTTTTTCAGTTTGTGGGTCCCTAGAATCTGAGTGTGTGTTTTCCAGGTCTCTTTTACATCTCCTCTAGTATCTGTGAATCTACTGGAGTAGTATAGTTGTTTGGCTTTCTTTATTACTTTGGTGAGAACTGATGAATAGTGTTTAAGAATATCTTTGTGTATTAAGCCCTGTCTATATTGCTTTTCATATTGGTGTTTCTTGTCAATGGATTTCAGAATGGTGCTGGTTAGCCATGGGCAACCAAGCCGTTTGTTTGTGATCTGTTTCATTTTTATAGGACAATGTTTGTTGTATAGTCTAAGTAATTTGTTGAGAAAAATGTCTGTCCAGTCATCAATACCATTGGCCTTGGAGAATTCTGTAGGCCAGTCAACAGTCTCCAGGTCAGCTGTGAACTTCCTTATTGAGGCCTCATCATGGAGTCTAAATGAGACTTTGTTGTATTCAAGTGGTGGTTTACTAATGTTTGTCAGGAGGAAGGTAGGGTAGTGGTCTGTACTGTTATCTGTGATTATCCCTGATTTGAGGGGGGGCTAGTATATTGGTCCATATGTGGTCTATTATGGTTGCACTTGTCTCAGTGAGCCTGGTTGGTTTAGTTATTGTTGGTATGAGAAGTGTGTTGTTCATATTGTTGATGAAATCAGTTACAGGCTGATCATCTAGTAAGCCAAGGTTGATGTTGAAGTCTCCAGCTAAGAGAAGGTGGTGCTTATTCATTTGTCTGTTTGTTATTAGTGACTTTAATTTCTCACTGAAATTTGGGATGTTTGTGTGAGGTATCCGGTAAATGGCACCGATTGTTATAGGTGTCTTAAGGTTTTTTACAGTAAAATTAGCAAAAATGTATTCCCCATATTCATCACTAAAGCAAGTGGTGCTAATACAAGATAATTGGTTAAAGTAATAGATTGCAATACCACCCCCAACTTCGTTTGGTCTGCAGTTGTGAATTGCAGTGTATCCTGGTAGAGGGTAGATATCTATTGTCCTGCTTAAGCCAGGTCTCAGTAAGGATAATGCAGGAGAAGGGTGTCTTTAGTGATTCAAGGAGTGCCAGGAGGTCATCATAGTGTTTGCTTAAGGACCTGATGTTGTAGTTAAGTACTGATAGACTTTTAGCATTGTTTAGGATAGTGGTGGCTTGTGATGCTGTGTAATAAAGGCAGTTACTTTCCAATAGGTTTTGATTGGGTGTCAGATTATGGAGGTTTAGATCAGGGTCAACGTGATCAATCATCTTCTAGGTTTAAATTATGGTTATTTATATCCTGAGTTGTGTGTTGAGTTCTAGTACTGATATCTGTAGTGGTAGGAAGTTTGGACAAGTATATAGCTAGAGTACTTTGGTATCGGCTTACTTGCGAGTCACAGACCGGGCCGCGGGGGCATTGACCCCCGGAACACTCTCCAGGTAAACTCCAGGTAAACCAGTAGTAATAGCCTGGTTGATCCATCCGAGGCTTGGTCGTGGATCGGGCCGCGGGGGCGTTGACCCCGGAACACTCAGGTATACCCCAGGTATGCAGGTAGACAAAGGCTTCATTCATATTACAGTTTACATAGAAGTTTGGGCTCTCGTATAGAAATTTATTTTTTTCAGTGGATATTATATATAATATAATATATGACCAAGTCTTTGTATGACTGACTTACATAGGGAGAAATTTTCCTGAAATTTAATCTTACCAGTTCAAAGGAAATCTAATAACCTCACCAGTTGAGAGGAAAGCTATCCGTGTCTTCTGGTTAAAAGAAAGCTAATCATCTCTTTAGGTTAGAGAAAAGCTAACCATCTCCCCCCCCCTCAGGGAAGGTTCCTTGATGTTGGTGAGGGGCTCTTGATTTAGGGAATTGGATCTGTGTTCCAGTTCCCTGAATTAAGCCTGAATGCCTTCCACATCCTCCCCCCAGGTGCTGTATAATCCTACGGGCTTAGCGCTTCCCCCTTGATTATAATAATAATAACCATCTCAGGTTAGACGAAAGTTTTCCGGATCAGGTCAAACAAAGGCTGCTGGGCTCATCATCTTCCCTGATATACCTTTTAGTCTTTACTCGAGATTTTCATCTCAAAGTTGGATATATTTACTCTTCCATCCATACTCTAGCTTTCAGGAACTTGTCAGTCCTAACTATGGGTCAGGTAAGTGGTGATAGCTTCCAATATGACGATTCTCAGAGCATAGTTCTAGTTGCACAGAAACAACTTATGTTCCAAATAGAGAAATTAGATCAAGCAGAAATTATCCAAAATGGATAAATAATAGATTAAAACATCTCATTGCTCAAAAGAGGAGAGGGGCACTTAAGAAACCAGTATATTCAATTAAAACATGGAATAAAAAAAAGGGAATAAGATAAGCAAAGAGATTATGAAGTTAAAATCGCAAAGGATTCAAAGAGTAATCCAAAGGGTTTCTTTCAGGTATACAGAAGTAAGATTAGGGACAAGATTGGCCCAATTAAGAGTGACTCAGGCCAGCTCACCGACACTGGTAAGGAAATGTGTAGAATTTTTAACACTCATTTCCTCTCAGTTTTTACACAGGGAGATACTAGCCAAATTCCATAAATAAACTATGTTGAAGTGACCGATGATAAGTTTTGCACGATCCAGGTCACTAGTGACATGGTTCTCAGACAAATAGATAAACTAAAACCTAACAAATCCCGAGACTTGAATAACTGTTTGCAGGGGTTTTAAAAATATGTAAAGTAAAACTTAGTGAACCTTTGGCTAGTCTTTTCAACTTGTCTCTATGAGCTGGCATAGTACCAGATAAGTGGATAATGGCGAATGTAATACCTATCTACAAATTAGGTGACAGGTCCTTAGCTTTGACCTACAGACCAGTAAGCCTAATCTCCATAGTGGGGAAAATTGATGGAATCTATAACTGCCGACTCTGTAGCCATCTTGGAAGACATAAATTGATTAATGAATCTCAGCATCGTATTTCAAAAAGGTGTTCTTGCCTTACGAACTAACTTCATTTGCTAAGGTATTTGAGGAGGTAGATCATGGTAATGAATATGATATTGTGTATATGGACTTCAGTAAGGCTTTTGACAGAGTCCCACATCGGAGACTATTGAGGAAAGTCAAGGCTCACGGAATAGGAGAAACTTTCCCAGAGGCATGGCTGACAGATAGGCAACAAAGAGGTTGCATAAACGGGGAGAAATCAGAGTGAGGAAGCATCATAGCGGTGTTCCACATGGATCAGTGTTGAGCCCTTTGTTGTTCACAATTAGACGATATAGTTGAGGGTAAAAATAGCGACGTAAGCAAGTTTGCCGATAACACCAAAATAGGCCGTCGAATTCATTCTCACGAAGACGCTAGAGTGCTCCAGGAGGATCTGAATATACTGGTGCAGTGGTCGGTGAAGCGGCAGATACAGTTGAACATGGACAAATGCAAAGTTCTGAGCGTTGGAGCTGTATAGTCCTTGTGGCTTAGCGCTTCTTTTTGATTATAATAATAATGAGCGTTGGAAAGGTAAATAACTATGATACTTGTGTACTAATGTCAGTCTTAATATATCTGACTGCGAAAAAGATTTGTGAGTTTTTGTACCTGGAGTTTACCTGGAGAGAGTTCCGGGGGTCAACGCCCCCGCGGCCCGGTCTGTGACCAGGCCTCCTGGTGGACCAGAGCCTGATCAATCAGGCTGTTACTGTTGGCTGCACGCAAACCAACGTACGAGCCACAGCCCGGCTGGTCAGGAACCGACTTTAGGTGCTTGTCCAGTGCCAGCTTGAAGACTGCCAGGGGTCTGTTGGTAATCCCCCTTATGTATGCTGGGAGGGAGTTGAACAGTCTCGGGCCCCTGACACTTATTGTATGGTCTCTTAACGTGCTAGTGACACCCCTGCTTTTCATTGGGGGGATGGTGCATCGTCTGCCAAGTCTTTTGCTTTCGTAGTAATCTAAAACCCAGACAGCAGTACATAAGCATATGAAATAAAGCAAATAGATTTCTTGGCTTCATATCATGAGTGGGTGTGAGCTGGACCTGCCTCGCATGGGCCTGCTGCAGTGCTCCTTCTTTCTTGTGTTTTTGTTAGTGGTTGACAGAGGAGTCACGAGGGAGGCGGCAATACGGTGCTCACATGGGATAAAACACGGTACAATATACACATGGGATAAAACACGGTACAGCATACGGTGCACACACGAGACACATCAAGGTACAACAGAGGTAGTAGTCACATAATTACCTATAGCGAAGGCAGCGACATCCTCCCCGCCATGCGCCTCCTCACCAGTCTCGGTGGGTATGGCTGCAAGGGACACGTAGTCCTTGTGCCCCGTGTCCACACCTGTCAGGTTGGGCCTCACCACCTGTATGAAGGTACAAGCATTAGTCTCTCACACATTGTCACTCGCTCGTATTGCTCCAAATTATCCAGTGATGACTTGTATTCCCCGTGCAGCTGATGCACACCTCGTCACCTGTTTGATGGATGGCCTTCAGTAATTATGAAGAATAAAAAGGGAACAATAACAGTACGCTAATAACCCGCACACAGAAAAAAAATTATGACGACTTGGAGTGTCACACTAATAAGGAAGACAAATACAAGCTAAGAGTGCGTCAGTCTAGACACATCACTGTCACTGGTCAGACCAGACACATCACTGTCACTGGTCAGACCAGACACATCACTGTCACTGGTCAGACCAGACACATCACTCACTGGTCAGGCCAGACACATCACTGTCACTGGTCAGACCAGACACATCACTGTCATTGGTCAGACCAGACACATCACTGTCACTGGTCAGACCAGACACATCACTGTCACTGGTCAGACCAGACACATCACTGTCACTGGTCAGACCAGACACATCACTGTCACTGCATCGTTACTGCGACACTCACGACAGATTTAAGCAACATTAGGAATATTGAAATTGTTTTGTGACTGTACAGGATCAAGTGAAGCAACACCTGATGTTATGCAAAGTAACAGATTGTATATTATCCTCAAAAAAAAATTTTTTATTGATTTTTTTCTAAAAAAAAAAATATTAATTTTGTACTTTTTCCTTCCTCTCGCCAACCTATTCTTCCCCTATCACCACTTCCGTCCTCACTCCAAAAGAGTCTTACATAAGCTCTAATGGTAGGCCTACGGCCTGGCGTGCAGGCTAGGGACACACCTTGCTGTGTACTCAGTACTTAATCTTAGCAACAAATCTACCATATCACTCTCCACCTCAAATTATAATATCTCACTATGTTACTGCCCTAACCTCAGAACTCCAAAAATAAATGCTCCGAGTACAATAAATTCTCATATTTTAATCTAATGCAAATGTTGAATAACATATAATTAGTGCAACCTGATCAAACTATGTTTTGTATGTCTAGTGTTAAGTAATCAGTAACGTGTTAAGTGTAGACTGCCCATAATGCCAAGGCATGATAGTGGCTGTCTTTGCACTACAAACTGTAAACCCTCACTGTAAACTACCTTTATACAATATGTCAACCACACGGTAAATTTGCAAGGAAATAAAAAATCTAGAAATAAATCTAATTAAATCTAAATCTACCACTTACCCAATAAACCGTAACAAAAACACACAAAACCATCGATATAACCCACATAACAGTTATAGAAACAATAAAATACTGTTTGTTATTAAGAGGATGCGTTGTGTGAAGCAACACTGATTACAATGACACAAAAATTATCACATACACTAACGTAGATCAACAGACGATAATACATACCTTTTGTCCGTCCCAGGTGTAGTTGTAACCCTGACCAGCGGTGAACATGAGGGTGGTGTAAGGCAGACCATCAGTCACGTACACGTTATCATGCACCAAACCTGTGGTGTAAGTCAGAGTATCAGTCACATACACCTAAGGGACGCAGGCGCCCACGTATACCTATTACTAGAGGAAGTACTTCCATCTTGGGGAGGGGCGGTCTTTTTACTTTTACACAGAACTTTTGTTAAAAGCAAAGACGTCACAGGTTCCTTAACTGTAAAGGTATCAGGGAAATTTCCTATGAAAGAGGAACTGCTGCTTATCGGTAATGGTCCTCTCGTCCAGATTGTGTCCCGATCCTATAGTCACTGTTGAAGCTCTTCACCTACATAAGAACATAAGAAAGGAGGAACACTGCAGGAGGCCTGCTGGCCCATACTAGGCAGGTCCTTTACAATTCATCCCACTAACAAAACATTTACCCAACCCAATTTTCAATGTTACCCAAGAAAAAAGCTTGTTGAAGCCCCCATCAATCCCCCCCCCACCATGTTTTTTCCCAAACCAATTTTTAAACTCCCCAAGTCCTACCTAAAAAACCCCAAATAGGTGACTGTTCCACTCATAACTACCCTTTTTCCAAAAACCAATTTTTCCTAGCCTTTTAAAATCTAATTATTATTTAAACCTTTACTGCGGGTTTCTCTTGGAGAGACATCCTCAAGACTTTTTAATACCCCTTTTTTAATACCATTTACTTATACACTTCGATCAGGTCCCCCCTCATTCTTGTCAACAAGTGAAGTACTTAAGGTCTTCTCTTTCCATAAGGAAGATTTCTGATGCTATGTTTTAAATTTTAGTCATCCTCCCTGAATGTTTTAAAACGAATTTATGCCCTTTTTTGTAATACGGAGACCAAAACTGACTGCATAATCAAGGTAGGCCTATATGATTATAAAGCTGCGTATGCCCCTTGGACTTTGGCTTACACTTTTGATATAAACCCGTAATTATTTGCCTTTTTACGACCTTAGGATTGCGTCTTGGTTTAAGGTTGTGTCACCAAACCCCCCCAAGCCTTTTAAAAACTGGGGGCTAAGTTCTAATCATTTAAATTTTAAATACTGGGGGTTAGGGGAAAGCTTCAAAACCCTTGCACTTATCTACTTTGAACTGCATCTGCACTTTTTGCCCAAGAATAGAGTTTTTTTAAAATCCCCCTAAAGTTCCCTAACTTTTCGTTTGAATCAATTACCTCCCTATCTTTGTTCACGGGAATTTGTAACCCCTAGAAATTTCCCTCATCAAGATCATTGATATATATTTAAAAACAAGGGGCCCAAGAGATCCCTGGGGAAAGCCACTTGTTACAAAACCCCACTGGATTTAACCCCTTTATGGACACTTTGCTTCCTGTCGGACCCATGATCGACCCGAGAGCATTTTTTCCCCCAATGCCATGAGCTCCCAAATTTTTTTTAACACTAGGGCGGAACTCTATAAAAAACCCTTACTAAAATCTAAGTAAAAAATATAAAAATTCTTTTTTTTGGTCAACAGCCTCAAAGCTTTATGAAAAAAATTAAAAAATTTATTTAAAAAAACCCCGTCTTGTGAACCCATGCTGAGTTCATTAATCAAGCATGCTTATCGAGATGGCTTTTATAATCTCAGTATAATTGACTCTAGTAATTTGCCTACAATTGGGGCGGGCTTTTTGGGGCGGTAATTTGACGGAAAACGATTTTCCCCCTGTTTTAAAAATGGGATTTACTTACCCATTTTCCCAAATTCAGAACTACACCTGTTTGAAGAGAAAAATTTAAAAAATTGTTAAGGGTTCACGAGTTCCTTTTTTGCTTTCCCTTAAGAACCCTTGAAAAAACCTATCAGGCCCCCGGTGACTTATTTTGCTTCGGCTGTCTATCTGCCCCAAACCATCTCACTAGTGACGGATGTTACAAATTTTATTTCTTCTACCCACGAAAAAATTAAATTACGGGAATATTGTTATGTCTTCCTTTTAAAAAATTTTGGAAAAAATAATTTTTAAAATCAAGACATTTCATTCTCATTGTCATAGGGTCCCCATAGTTATTTTTAAGGGGCCCTATTTATCTCTAATTTTTTGAAACCCGGGAAAAAACTTTTTGGGTTTAGTTTTAGATCCCTAGCAACTTTAATTTATAGCCCCTTTTAGCTTTTTTATCCCTTTTTAAGTCCTCTTAATGTCAAAATATTCTAAGATGACCCTCACCCTTTGTACGCCTATAAATTCCTTCTTATGCCCTAGAAAATATTTGAGCCCATTATTCACCCTTTTGGGTCATTTCTATTTATCTAATTTCTTTATATGGGGATAAACGCTCTTTTTGGGGCCGTATGTTTTTTAGAAAAACTCATATTGGCTCTCTTCGTTACCCCAGTAACAGTGAAAAGTTTTCTCTAAACCCTGTAATCTGCTAAAGCAAAAATGGGCTGTTTGAGTTACCTACTATTACTTCCCTTCAATGCTAAAAGTATTGTTTTTGGTCGCTAGCACCCCGTTCCCCTGAAAATTTTTAATTTTAACAAGGGGTTATTGTTTTCATAACTAAGTCAAGCAGGTTATTTCCCCTTGTAGGGTTCTGTCACAAATCTTCAAAAACAATCCTGAAAAACTTCTAAGAATTTTCGATTTAAATCCCAGTCAAAAAAATTCCAATCAACAGATAAAATTAAAGTCTCCCGAAATTTCTCATTATCGTGCCTTTTGGCCCAACAAAAATTCCCCCATATTTTCCCCTTTGGGCCCTATCTAAGTTTGGGGACGGGTTTTCACTCCTAAAATCAGTTTTTCATGCCCCTCTGAAAATTTTATCCAAACAACCTGAGTTTACTTCGACTTAATACCTTTTTTTTTAACAGTTCAAGCGATCCGGACATACAATGCCCCCCCCCCCCCCTCCAATACTTCTTCTTTTGGAAACAATTTAAAACCCTGAATATGACATTTCCCCAGGCATGTCCCGCTTTTTGAATTAAACCACGCTCAGTTAAGGGAAATACATCAATGTTACCTACAACAATAAAAACCAAAAAGTCCCTTTATTCCTAGCCTACGGCAATTTGCTAATAAACATTGAAAGACTTCCTTTCTTTACCTTCCCGCCCTTTTTATTTTTACTAAACTATTCCGTCCTTATCCCCAAGGTCCGGCTTTTCAATATCTTTGTTCTTTTTATTTGTTCCCCCAGAATCGTAATATTATTTCATGGGACTTCAAGTTTTCCTGCCAAAACCCCTACCCCAACTTTCCTAGTTTAAAGTCCCAACTGCTCCCCCCACTGCGTTGCCCGGCTCCCCCCCCCACACCTAATAAGTGAACCCCCTCCCCACAACTGTCATTTCTGCCTTTAAAAAGGTCCCATTTAATGAATGTTACCGCATTTTTTTTCAGTATTTTTTCCAGCAGCAATTGACACAATTGCCCTGGGAAACATTTACTTCCAATCCCTCCTTTGGGAAAATACCCATATGGGGGGGTTTTCCCCCTTACTTCTAATTTTTTTTATTTCGACCTATACCGTAATCAGGGCCCATCTACCTGCCCAAAATCGTTGCCTCCGCACGAACAGATAATAGGATTTCCCCATTACTCTCATGATGTATCCCGACGGCTAACAAAATCCCCCCTCCCCGCCCCAGGAAAGCAAACTCTCTGTTCCCACTCCTGTCCCTTCAACAGAACCCCATCCTATACCCAATTGGCATCCCCCAACAACAACAATATTCTTACCTTCCTTAATGTCTTTCGTCGGTCGTTCCCATAGTCAACCACATTCGTCGGTAGCACTGAATGTTTTGGGATTTTTCCCAACAGTTTTCACCGGGTTTAGTTAGGGGTGTAATCAGACAATAACCAAGGAAATCTAGTGAGAATGCTGCCCTTTTTGCCCTGGGGAAAATGACTTGATTGGACACTTTTTTTTGATGGCCCCCTCGCAAACCCAGCAGTGCTCCCTGGTCAGGCTTTTTTTTATTCCGGGGGTAGAGGGGCTACCAATGCTCCCCCAACACCTTTTTTCGAAACAAAGGCCTTACGAAGTCATATACAGATATCGTATTAAAATTTCATTTCTACCATAAAAATCCCTTAAGGAAAAAATAGTCAATTCGAAGTCGGGAACGCCCTTTGAAAGCCGTATTAGTTTCAATGATCAATTTAATTCTTCAAGGTACTTCGAACTCCCTTCTGCAGTTATTAACTCCATAAATTTCTGACAAGGAAGTTTATAGTTTCTCCTCTATTGAACACCCAATCCTTCCTCCCCAACATTGCCCAACTAACCCTTTCCTTTTCCTCCCTTCCTTTGCTTCACCTTTTTCTGTTTAAGTTTTTTGCCCCCTCTTTACTGTTCCCTCCTTTTTCTCTTTTTTCCCGTTCCAGGGATACATGATATTTATCCTGGTCGGGTAACATGTGATATATTGTCCTAGTCCAGGAATATATCTTTTTCGGTCCTGATATAATGATATCGGTCCCCCTATCCTACTATTCAGCCTTCCCACACACCTAGGTTTGTGGGGGTATCCCAGCCTAAATTACCTTCGTAAATAACCCACACTATCCCAGAGAAAACCTAACTATCTCACAATTTTAGGGTATCCATCCATCCCATTACCCCACGCATCCCGCCTATCCTAGCTTTCACTACACTAGGCAAAACCCAGCCTATCCTACATACCCAGACATCCCACCTTTCTTACACATCCACCAATTCCACACATCCCAGGCTATCATACACATACATATCCTGCCCATCCCACACTATCCCAGCGCACCCAGCTTATTCCACATTTTCCTAGGCTATCCCAGACAATCCAGACAATCCCCAAATTTTCCAGGGTATCCCCCCTATCCTAGGTTATCCCACCTATCCTGACTATCCCAGACAATCGAGCCCCAAACTCACATTACCAAGGTTACCCCAGCGTATCCTGGTTATCCGAGCCTATCCTAGCCTATCCCACACTAACCTAGGCTATACAAGCCTATTACACTACTTACCTATTGCACACTGTCCTAGGGTTCCTATCTATCCTAGGGTACCCCCGCCTATCATGCACTATC